CTTGGTGAGGGTCCCGCTGGGGGGGCCTGCCTGAGGCTGGCTGCTGCCCAGCACCTGCTCCCTGTGGTGTGACCTCCTTGGCTGGGCTGCGGTGGCCTCTGGGGACATTGTGTCTTGAGGGGTGGCAATCCTGGGGCCAGTGCCAAGCAGTGGTGAAGCTGATGTGAAGCAGCTGGGATGCTGGCCTGGCTGTGTGGCCCCCTCCTGGCATTGCACAGGGGACGGTGGCTCCCTTAGGGTGCAGGCAGCTGGTGAGGCAGCAATCCCAGTGGCACCCTGAGGGGTCCCTGCCTACCTAGTGTGGCACCTCCGCAAACTGGGCAGGGCTAGGATGGGGCCCGGCCTCCTTTGGACGGCAGTAGTGGCAGAGGAAAGGGGGTAGAGCGGCTGTTGAAGGCCAGCTCTGTTGCAGGGCTGTGGGAGGTGGTGCCCTGCTGGAGGAGTGTCCTCCTGGGGTGGGACTTGCTGATTTTGTATTAATTAGAGGTGGGGAAATGTTGTGGTAATGGTTTTGGCAATACTCGGAGGTGGTGTGGGCAGGGTGCTGGTTGCCTGTGACAAGTGACTGTAGCAGAGGTGGGTGAAGTCACAGTGATACTGTGTCTTCTGTGGCGAGGTGTTGCTTTTGTGGGTATGGAGGGGGTGGTGGGTGTGAACTTTGTTGCAATAAAGGTGTTTGGTTTTTTTCTAAAATTGTGTCCATTTTTCTGCTGCATGGTGGAAGGGAAGGGAGGGAAGGAAGGAAGGATTCCCAACCACTGCTCTCTCCCTTGAGCCCTCCCGTCCCAGGCAGGACACACAGACAAGGAGGAAGCAAGGGCAATTTTTATTTCAGGTCTAGGTGCTCTCTGCCTGTGCTTCCCCAGCATCTCTGCCCTGGGGCCACGTGCTCCTGCAGCCAACATCTCCAAGGCTGGTTCCACTCCACTGGCTGTAACTGCTGTCCCCATGTCAGAGCCGGGTTGCGGAGCCCCAAAAAGCTTCGTGCCCATCCTGGCGAGCGCAGGGGAGCGGAGGGCTGCTGGGTCCCAGAGGAGGCACTGTCGTACTTCCCCCAGGGCCCTCTGTGACGCTGACCTGCCATGCAAACAGCAGATGCATGTGAGTGGGGGGCACACGGCACGGGCAGGGCAGCCCCGGGGTAGCACCCCATGGCTGAGCCGGGCCCCACTGCTGCCTCCTCGCCCCGCGGCTCAGCATGGCTGCTGCTGGCTGAGCGGAGCTGGGAGGTCGTGGTGAGCAACCCCAGCTCAGCACCAGCACGGTGCTTTTCCCCCTGCTGCCACGTGCCTGGATGTGGCCAGCACATCCGGGTCTCCCCCCTACTCAGGGGGAAAGGGGTGAGGTGCAAAAGGGACCCTGGGGCTGCTAGCGGCCACCCAAACCCTCGCAGCTCACCTGGGAGCTAGCTGTAGACGGGCACCACGGC